TGAGATTTTCAGACCTCGACCCAAAGGCTTTTCAAGAAGAGTTTCTTGGGCGGATCGAACCAGGCATCGCCGGCTCCGGACATGTTCAGACACGCTTCTTGGCCCGCTCAGCCAGCCCTGCAGAGCTGCTCACACCACCTGGCACTTGCCTTTCCCACTAAGAGCACTTGCAGGGCCCCCGGAGCCCCCTCCCCTGCACCCAGGGTGCTGGATGCGCGGGCGCCCGGCGCCCGCCGCGCCTGCATTACATAACATCTGGAGGGGGGAAGGGAGCGGAGGGACGGCTAAGCGGGCCACTTAACCCAGGGTGGATTTCAGCCTAGAAGCAACGGCAGCAAAATGCCCTCCAGCCCCCTGCCTATGGTGTCTTCTCTGGGAAGAGAGATGCCAGTGCCAAGGCATCTTTTCGAGCAGTTAACTTTTGGAGCTAGGCAAAAGTCCAAGGTCCAAAAGTGAAAGCTCAAGATCTCCCTCTAAAATCCCAGAACTCCTAACTACAACAACAGAAGAAAGGAAAAAGCAACAACAACAGGACAATGTTTGCTGCCTTTAAAGAACAGATAGCCCAGACACGGAAAGGACAAAGTCAAGTTCATGCACCACTGCGGAGCCCTAAGAAATTAAAGTAGCCCAAACACGGAATTCAATGTGTTATTAAAAAGAGGTCTAGGAAACTGTTTAATAAATAACAGAAAAAGACAACACGCTGAAGTATTTAACCTGTATTTCTTGAAGATCAAGGAATAGCCTCAGAAACTTAGGTTGCGTATGTTCTACCTAAGCAGTTGTTCAATATTGCTAATAAAACCAGCTGCCAGGTTCTTAATATTGCCTTAGGTCTGCCAAATACTTAGAACGTGCATGGAACAATTGTAAGCAATATGCAGAAGGGGACAGACTTTTAAAGGCTACAAGTAAGTCTGTCTTGTTCCGCAGACAAGAGCACTAGCTCTTTTTGAAAGTTATCCCCCCAAAAAGCTACTTTAAAACAATCTATCTCTCCTAGTAGCCTTGCAAATTCATCTTAAGTATGTTAAATACAAGCACTAATGACACTATTGGAAATACTCTTTCAAAACACATTACAGCTCAGATTACTTACCCCACAACACCTCCAAGATGCACAAGGAAGTAGCACGAGGTCTGGTTACTATATAATTATCCTCAAAGAGCAGCTTCCCACTCTTGTGAGAAAAGTTATAGTGAAATCATGTGTGTATGTATGCATATGTATTTAATTAACACATAGACAAGTACAGAATAGATGAGGCTAAAATGAGGAGTCTGGTCTACCAAATAAGCACATTTCTCTTGCCCCTGCTGTGCAGCCCCTGTTTCCTGCAGACGGGCATTAGGCCTGATGTGCACGCAGCGAAAGGCTCCTTGCTGAACCCAAGTGCCTTCAGCAAAAGAAAAAGCAAGTTGATAGTCTCACCAAGACAAACTATTTGCAGGCCAGCCTGGCCTGGCAGCAAACGTGTAAAATGTGCAGTAAGAGGCGCAAGAAACAGCTCTGCAGGCCAGGGAGGAAGCAGAGGGCAGGGGGGAAAGGTGCAGCACCCGCGAGCACCAGAGCCCAGGGTCGAGAGGCTCCCCAGGCCGCCGCGCTGCAGCCCCAGCCCTTCTCCTTAATACACTCTTGCATACAGGACACCAATTTAACTGATTTCCTATTTACACTCTCCCACCCATTGGCCAGGCCTATCAATTAACACTTCTAAAGAGCTGAAAACTTTCACGATGTTTTTAGAAACAGAGTTGAGCCACTGAAGCTTGGAAAATTAATTTTAGGTGGTTTTGACCATTTTTTGAGGTTTTCTTCATCTGTAGGCAAAAAAAATATAACGTTTAAATATCTGATAACTCATGGGGATTTCTTAATACAAAAAAAGGTAAAAATATACTACTGAAATAGGCTTTCAGGTCTCTCAAGGAACATCACATAAAAGCTGGAAATAGGCTATAAAGCAATGTATGCAGTTCAGATGGGTTTATTAGCATTATTCACACAAGTGAAGTATAAAAGCACCTTCTGCTGTAAAACACTTATGCAAAGTGTTTTACTAAAGAGGTAGCTGGACCTACCTTCATATTTAATCAATTTGCAAATTACTCGGTACTCGATAAACCCTTCCTCCCTCTGCAGAAGCAAATTTGCCAATATAATGTAATTTAGGACGGCCAAAAGAGGAGAAAATCAGGGGGAAGGGATAACAAAGCTGCCGTACAGCTCTGTCCTTAGCTCCGTGATCCCACCGAAGTTTTCCCAACTGTTGATAGCAAGCCCGACACCTGGAAAACCCCCAATCCAACCCGGGTGTTTCTGGGGTGGATATTACAGCATTAAGGAAAAACGGGCGACTCCGGTTAGCTGCGTAGCCCCCGTTGGTGACCTGTGGAGCAGACACGAACCTGCCCGCTCTCCTGCGCCCTCCAGCAGGGCAGGGGCCCCGGCCTAAGGGGTCGCTGGCACCGAGCCCGGCGGCAGCTTCGCCCCGGGGCCCCGGCACCCCCGGCCTCTCCGTCCCCCGTCACGTCGCTCCTTTCCCCCCTCCTGCCGCGCGTTCTCTCCTCTTCCCGAGCAGCAACGAGCAGCCTCGGAGGGCGCGAGGCGGCCCAAACGCCCGCGGCCGCCGCTCGCCGCCAAGTTTCACGGAAGCGCCGCGCAGCTCCCGGGGACGGCGGCGGCTCCCGGGCCCCCTCTCCCCACGGCGCTTCCCTCCCTCCCCGGGCTGTTTTTGGGGGGACCGGACACCTCCACAGCCCGCGGGCTCGGCT